ACCAACCCGCGGCATTGCAGATGTCCTGCATAGAAACACACTGCTCGCACTGGACACATACAGTTAAGCTTCTGCTGGTCAGGCTTCCGAAAGGGAGGAGGACAGAAGGCCTGGAGTACAACAGGCTGTGGTGTTGGGAACTTTAGGTACAACTCCACCTTAGGCTGGCCAAGAACTCTCCATATCTGCTTCACCACCTCGGGGTGAAGCCTCCACTCCCCGGGCCTCGGCCCCTGCCTCGACAGGACATCTGCTCCCTGATTGAGGCTCAGCGAGAGGAGTTTGCCCTGGGACCACACAAGGATCTGGTGCGGCAGCCTGTAAAAGGGGGCGCGAACGCAGACCTCCCTGGTGGTTGATATAAGAGACCACCACTGTGTTGTCGGTGCGCACCCACACATGGCGATCTCTTAGGTCTGACACAAGGATCTGATGCGCCAGCTTGTATAAGGGGCGCGAACGCAGACCTCCCTGGTGGTTGATATAAGAGACCACCACTGTGTTGTCGGTGCGCACCCACACATGACGATCTCTTAGGTCTGGGAGAAAGTGTTTCAGTGCTCGAAACACGGTCAGCATCTCCAGGCAGTTAATGTGCCACGTGAGATGGCGACCGCTCCACAAACCGCAGGCAGGGTGGCCACTCATGACCGCACCCCAACCGGTGAGGGACGCGTCCGTCGCTAGCGTTACACGGCGTCAAGGAGCTCCCAGCACCGGGCCCTGAGACAAGAACCAAGGTTACTCCACATGTCTAAGGCACGAAAGCATCGCCGCGTGATCTTGAGCATGCGGAGCGGGTTTCCTCTCGGGGAGAACCCCCTGGTCTTGAGCCACCACTGTAGGGGTCTCATGTACAGCAGACCAAGAGGTATCACGTTGGACGCAGCTGCCATCAAACCCAGCAGTGTCTGAAACTGCTTGACAGTGAGTGACCGGCCTTCTCTCACTCTCTTGACTGCTGTGAGGATCGACTCGATCCGAGCAGGGGACAGATGTGCCTGCATCGTGGTCAAATCCCACACCACGCCCAGATAAGTGGTCCTCTGTGCTGGAGAAACCACACTTTTCTTGGCGTTTAGTCTTAACCCCAGCTCTTTCATGTGTGCAAGAACGACATCTCGATGCCGAACCGCCATCTGCTCTGCTTGAGCTAAAATCAACCAATCGTCGATATAATTGAGTATGCGTATGCCCCGGAGTTGCAGGGGAGCCAGAGCAGCACACACTTCGTGAAAGTGCAAGGCCGTATAGGTGCATTGCCAAAACAAATGAAGGAAGTCTTCTTCAGAGGAATGACAAAAACTGCAGTTCACTTCAATATCTGACTTGTATTTTTTCTAAGAAAAGCTTTAGTCGGGTAACATTTGTGAATCAATTTAAATGTTTTAAATTTATTTTACTTTATTTGTAAGCAGTTACTGGAACTTCGGAGCAGGTTTGTGAATCTTTTTTCTGATTTCTTTCTTTCTTTTTTTATTAAACTCCAAAACATCAAACCATTAAGGCAGTACAGCTATAAAAACAAAAAGAAAAAGAAAGAAAGAAAGTAAGTACACACAAATACAAATTCCTTAAGAAAATTAGCCATGGTTTTTATTATAGTAAAAGTGCAGCAACCATATATACATATATATATTGGTGTATTGCCATTTGTATAACCACAGTAGGCCTAACCATGGTGATTGTTGTTGTTGTTCTTTTAGTAAAACCATGGTTAATTTTCATAAGGGATGTGTTGCCAGGTAAACAAAAGAAGTAATAAATTTACACCTTAAGAGGACACATAGGAAGAATATAGAGATGCAGTTTTTACTGCTTTAGGATAAACAGAATTTTAGATAGATTCCATATACTCATCTAGATCAACTTTGATTAAAGAATAAAGAAAAGACAGCCAGTACATTTTTTTGTATGTGAAATTTATATTTATATGTGTTATATTTTGCTATACGGGGTTTACTGGGACACAGGAAGTGTCCTCATAAACCATATATACCAGAACACACACTCACTCACTCACTCACTCACTCACACACACACACACACACTCACTCAC